CATTTTGACAAATTTAACATATTTTTATTTTTTAAATTTTTACACGGTCTTAAACGATATATTTTATTTTTATAATAAATTTTACATGGCCTTAAATGATATATATATATATATATATATATATATATATATATTGTTTTTTAATAACATTTACACAGCCTTAAACGGTATATATTTTTTTAAAAAAAATTTTTACACAGCCAAATTTAAGTAAATTTTGGCGGAAAATCCACCTCCCCTTCAACGTAAAGAAGGGAGAGGGGGGGGCTTGCGACTATATTCAGATTCTTGAAACGAACATAACCTCAAAACTTACGTAATTTTTGGCGGGAAATCCACTCCCTCAACGGGGATGGAGGGAGAGGGGGAGGACCTGTGGCTATATTCAGAGTCTTGAAACGAACATAACCTCAAAATTCAGGTCATATTTGGCGAAAAATCCGGATTGAGGAGGGAAGGGGGAGGACTTGCAGCTATATTCAGAGTTTTGAAACGAACATAACCTCAAAATTTAGGTAATTTTTGGCTGAAAATCCGGAGTGAGGAGGGAAGGGAAAGGACTTGCGGCTATATTCAGAGTCTTAAAACGAACATAACCTCAAAATTTAGGTCACTTTTGGCAAGGGAGGGAGAGAGGGGGGAGGACTTGCGGCTATATTTAGAGTCTTGAAACAGCGGCGTTGGCGGCGATATCTTTTTATAATATAGGTAGATATATATATATATATATATATATATATATATATATATATATATATATATATACTAGGGGGCTATGCCCCCTGCGCGCTTCGCGCGCCAACCCCCATCCCCCCTCCTCTCTTCCGCTCCCCTACCCTAAATTTAAAGGTTAAGATCGTTTCAAGACTCTGAATATAGCCTCAAGTCCCCCCCTTCTCTTCTACCCCCCTTCTCTTGACTTGCGGCTATATTCAGAGTCTTGGAACAGCGGTTTCGCGCTCCAACTCCCATCCCCCCTCCTCTCTTCCCCTCCTTTTCCCCTCCCCAACCCTAAATTTAAAGGTTATGATCGTTTCAAGACTCTGAATATAGCCTCAAGCCCCCCCTCCCTTTTCTTCTACCCCCCCCCTTCTCTTGACTTGCGGCTATATTCAGAGTCTTGGAACAGCGGCGGCGGCGTTGGCGGCGATATCTTGTTGTAATATAGGTAGTAACATGGTTGATTAATTTTTTAAAGGCTTGCATATAATAAAATTTTTAAATTTTATCTAAATTTTGAGGTTATGTTCGTTACTTGGTTAGGGGAATTTGAAGTTATGTTTATCGGACATAGCCTCAAACCTAACGGTCTCACGACTTATATCCTTGAATTTTGAGGTTATGTTTGAACTAAGGCCTTGAATTCTGGAAACCTATGTTCTAGATTTTTGAGGTTATGTTTGATCCATGATCTTGAATCCTGGAAACCTAGGACCTTGAATTTTTAGGTTATGTTCACAGAAAATTAAAAGGCATTAAAATAATCTGCAACGCTTATTATTTTAATCCATTTTGGTATTAAAATAAGCAAAATTGAAATAATATAATAAGCGTTGCAGCTTATTTTAATACCTTTTAATTTTCTGTGAGTACAATGGTTGGTTACACTTGATATGGAATGACCCATTCCTAACCTAACCTTATCAAAAACATGGGTTGGGTACACTTGACATGGAATATATATATATATATAGTATTGAACAGAAACAGGTATACGTTCAACTAAAATCTGTTAGTAAAATCTGTATTAAATTTAATATATTGTATATAAATAAGCAAATATGCAATACTAGAACTGAAATTTAATATACATATACAGTTTCATTAAATTTAATATTCATTTACTTAACATTTAACGTATTTTATGTTATACATTTAATGTAAAATGCATTAAATTTAATGAAACTATATTAAATTTCAGTTCTAGTATTGCATATTTGCTTTATATATACAATATATATTAAATTTAATACAGATTTTTCTAACTGAGATAATACAAAAACTGTTTCCATTTTTGAAATAAATTATAAAATTTGTCTTTTTGCGTGTATATATAGAAAGTTGACTTTGGCAAACGGTTTGAAAAGGGCTTGAAGCAGGATATTAACCTTGTGCTTCTGGAAGCAACAAATAAGCTTTCTGCGAGTTTGTTAGTTTTGAACAAAGGATTGGGTGACGAATTTCGTAGAGATGGTTTTGTGCGGGGAAGGTGTAGGGGTACCAGAGCGAGTTATAACTCATGGAACGGATGTAGAATGCCTGTGTGTTTATATGTATATGTATATGTATATGTATATGTATATGTATATGTATATGTATATGTATATGTATGTGTATATATAAATGTATATGTATATATATATATGTATAAAGCAACGTTGGCTCTCGACCGTTTTGTGGGTTGTGGGTCCTGACGTATAATACAGAATCGACAGGCGATGGGAGGAGAGGGTATTTTGTGTATGTGTGGAGGGACAGCCACCCCCTGGAGGTTCGCTCGTGCCGCGCAGCACAATATCGCGGCAACATAACTCTTCTCCCCTCGTTCATTCCCCTCACCTCCTTCCCTTACCACCCCCCGGGATCCGAGTGGCAGAAACATCAACCCTCACCCTCTAAACTCCTCTTCCGCCACCTCCATACCAACACTGCCGCCCTCACCTCTAAACCCGCGCCCGCTTTGTTTCAATAATACTGTTTATATTGGAACGCGGAGCATTGATCTGTTTGCGCGGCGGCGGCAGTGGCAGCCTCCTCACCTCCCTCTCGCACCCCAAAGATGGACATATTGGGTTCCCGAGTTTCACGGTTTCAGCGTTTCATGATTTCGATGCTCGGCGGTTTTCGAGTAATGCCTATAATGTTTAAACAACGTTTATTTATTTTTTTTTTGTTTTCTGTTTTATTTTCATATAAATATATAATAAGCGGCGATATTATTTTTTTTTTTTTTTATCAATGGAAAAATTTATACGTGTCCTGAAAGGGACCTTACGGTAAACTAAATTTTAGGTTATGTTTATAATTTTTAAAGTGAAAATTAATACAAACCAATCTCATATAAAACATTTTTTAAAAAACTGATTTTGATTTAACATAATTAAAAAAAAGATAAAATTATTAGTAAACATAACCTAAAATTTAGTTTATCGTAAGGTCCATTTCATCGTGTCAGGACATATATATCATCTTAATTGTCATTTGAAAAAAAATCAAAGAATTTGATATTTGACGTTGAGTAAATATTTTCTATATATAAGAATTTGATGGGAAAATTGTTATTTGTATAATATCGGATATATCGAAAAAAGGGTTAGTGAATGTAAATATTAATAAATTCTTTCTTGATGAGAAGACAAATTTATTTCGAATAATATTATTCTTCCTCTCATCTCGAAAATTGTATCTCTTATATGATAAACATTTTCTATTTGATCTACGTACAAAAATGAAATATAATTGACGTATATGAAAAATAAATGTCGAATATATTGGAAAAATATTTAAAGATCTTTTTTTAAAGAATGTGTAATTAAATCTTTGTTTTGGGATATAGTATGCTAAATTTCTTTAAAAAAAAATGGACTACACAGACAATTAAAAGGCATTAAAATAAGCTGCAACGCTTATTATTTTAATCCAATTTTGCTTATTTTAATACCAAAATGGATTAAAATAAGAAAAATTGGATTAAAATAATAAGCGTTGCAGCTTATTTTAATACCTTCCCTAATAACACAAGATATCTTGGGATATATTGATAATATCCCGCAGATATCCTAGGGATGTCCTATGGATATCAAAAGGATCTCTTAAGGATATCCAAAAAAGTGGCGGTTTGGATATTCTTTGGATATCCCATGGATATTTTATGATGTCCACAGGATATTTTCTGGATATCTATAGACTTTCATAAATGTCCTCCAGATATTCCATAGATATCGTCAGGATATTTTACAGATATCATCAGCATGTCCCACAGATATCAGGATATCCCATAGATATCGTCAGGATATCCCACAGATATTTTCAGGATATTCTCAGTATATCTTCTGGATATCAAGAAGATATTCTCAGGATATTGTTTTTAAAGTCATTATGTGAGACTACGAGTGAGAATATTCTGTGAATTAAATTTTATATAAATAAAATAAAATGCAACTTGTTTTTCGAGAAAGTTGTTTAATTTGAAAAATTATTAACTAATTATATTAATTATACTTTAAGTGCATGAGTTTATTTAAAAACTTTGAAAAATGCGTTTCAAATCTTCATTTAAAATAAATTAGAAGGTCATAAGATTTTTTTTTTATTATATTATTATTTATTATATTAGCTTAACAATTTTAACCTTTAACAATATATGTTGAGATATTAAATATTCCGTGAATATCCTAAGAATATCCCACGGACATCCTGAGGATATCCCATGGATATCCTGCGATATAATATCCAATAGATATTTTGTGGATGTCTTAGGGATATCCTGTGGATGTCCTATGGATGTCCCACAGACCGGCTGTTTGGATATCCTATGGATATCCCAAGATATCCTATGGATATCCCAAGATATCCTATGGATATCTCAAGATATCATGGGGACCATTTTAGGATATCGACCATTGATATGGATATCCTAGGGATATCCTAGGGATATCCTAGGGATATCCTAGGGATATCCTAGGGATATCCTTTTGTTATAAGGGTTATAATTTTCTGTGTATTTGCGTAATATGTGCGTAGTACTTTGCCAGTATTGACGCGATACTGCTACCAGTATTGTGCCAGTGCTGGCGCAATATTGGCGGAGTGACTTGTCACTGCTGGCCCGATACTGGTATCAGTACTTCGCTAGTACTAGCGCGATACTGGTACCAGTACCGGACCAGTAGTGAACTCTGTCAATTTTTAGTAGGGTTTTTACAGAATTTTCAATTATTTATTTTTTTTATTATTTAATAATTGATTGAAATTTATTTCCAGTTTATTTTTGTTTTCAGACGTTTTGGATCTTCGGCAAAATTCCTGCAGGACATCGAAGAGAAAGGGTCTATTTGGTTCAGGAGGGGATTTTCCAAAAGAGGTTCAGCAGTCCAGCAACGAGATATCATCGATCAGCAAGTCTTTTTTTTATTATTATTTTAGTATCATAGCGACACTATAAATATCAATTTCTAAAGATTTTCAAATATTATGATTAACCCTCTGTTTTTATTACTTTCTTTGCGTTATAAACCAATTTTGCCCATGGGGAATAATTAAGGAACCCGTTCCGTAAAACATCCCATCGAGAATTACGAAATGCGTTTTCGTTTTAACATTAGGGAACAGGTTCTCTACATTTCCTGCTTTAGGTATAAGTGATGCGTTCCCTTAATGTTCTATTAAAGAATGCGTTCTGTAAAATCCACATCAAATGATACGAAATGAATTCGTTTCATTTTAATCCAATAAAATGTGTTCCGTAATATCCTCAACAAGCGTTAGGAAATTGGGTACAATTTTAATATTATGGAACACATAGTTTCTAAAAAGCGTTACACATTTTGCAAAGTCTCAAACTATATGCGTTGTACAAAATGTGTTTTACAATATTCCAATTAATTTCAGAACACGTTCCCTATTTTGGTAAACAGAGGGTGAAGATAATATTTTCTAATTTAATTTTTACTCTTCTATAGAAAGTAAAATTAATATTTTTCAAATTTGCTTTTTACATTTTTTCTTGAAAAGTAATATTTTCTGATTTAATTTTTAATCTTTTAGAAAGTACAATATTGAAATTTCAAAATGTGAAAATAAACATTATGAATTGAATTAAAATTAATTTTATTACTTTAAAAATTGATATTTCGATTTTTAATATTGATATTTGTTTATATAGTTTAAGTATAGTCTTAAGTATTTTGCATGCTTGTATATTTATTTTGAGTGTCGCTATGATTGTTATACATTTTTGTGTGCCCTTGTGTCTGTTTCTCAATGTTTCAGTAGCAAAGACAGAAATCAGAATCTTCTGCTCAAAGTATTGAGCTACTCCTATACAGTATCTGAAACTTGAGGTATTGCAAATTTTTATTTTTAAAAAAATATTTTTAAAACTTAACTATAACTGTTCCTAATATTTTTTATAATTTTTTATAAAAAGTATAAAAACGAAATTTTTTCTTTTATTGGAAATCTTACTCAATATTTTAATGATTTTTGCGTTCTTTTTTAAAAAAAAGGATGTGATTTATTTGTATGAAGATAATTTCCACCCTATATGAAAAATAGCCAACGTTCACTTAGTATTTAGTATTCTTAGTATTTAGTACCAATATGTTCCTAGTATTTAGAATATATATACATATATATATATATATATATGCTAACAAGTAACACTAACCCAAGTGCCATACGCCGATACTACTAAAATATCGAAAAATAATTGACACATATTTTTTTATTTTTCCCCTTTTGAGTTTTAAGGGTTGAAAATACCCTTTTTAAAATTTAAGGAATGAAATCAATATCTCAGAAAAAATTTGTTAGATTTTGATGAAACTTGTTACTCAGGAGTTTTCGGTGTCGCTGATTACGAATATGAAATCAGATTTTAAAAATTCAAAATGGCGGATCCAATATGGCGGCCATAAAAAATTGAAAATCAATCGGATTTGCTTGAATTGGATCCGCCATTTTGAATTTTAAAAATGTGACTTCACATTCGTAATCAACGTCACCGTAACACAAAAAATTGAAAGGCATTAAAATAAGCAGCAACGCTTATTATTTTAATCCAATTTTGCATATTTTAATCCATTTTGGTATTAAAATAAGCAAAATTGGATTAAAATAATAAGCGTTGCAGCTTATTTTAATGATTTTTAATTTTCTGTGCAATCACTGATTTTTATGAAACTTGGCACACACTTTTAAAACATTGAAAAATATTGTATTTTTATATCGCGGCCTGTTTCGAATTTTAAAGAAGAAATGGTACAAACGTTAACATAACCTCAAAACTGAGAAATTGTTTTTCTAACAATTTAACGCAAAACAGAATTATAATTAATATTAATTGCAAACAATTTTAGAAGTTATGCATTTTACAGAAAAACGATGTTGAATCAATCTTTTTTTTTTAAATAATTAATACCGTTTTTTTTTTTTTGCAAAATGTATAACTTTTAAAATTGATTGCAATTAATTTTAATCATAATTTTGTTTTGTGTTAAATTGTTAGAAAAACAATTTCTCAGTTTTGAGGTTATGTTAAAGTGTGTACCATTTCTTCTTTAAAATTCGAAACAGGCCGCGATATAAAAATACAATATTTTTCAATGTTTTAAAAGTGTGTGCCAAGTTTCATAAAAATCAGTGATTGCACAGAAAATTAAAAATCATTAAAATAAGCTGCACCGCTTATTATTTTAATCCAATTTTGCTTATTTTAATACCAAAATGGATTAAAATAAGCAAAATTGGCTTAAAATAATAAGCGTTGCAGCTTATTTTAATCTTTTAATTTTCTGTGAAACCCCCGACTATCAAATTTCATCAGAATCTAACAAGTTTTTTCTGAGATATACTCATTTCATCTCTTAAATTTTAAAAGGGTGTTTTCTATTCCTTAAAATTTAAAAAATACGTGTCATTTAGTTTTCAAAGTTTTAGTAGTATACGTATGCTAATTTCCGGATACGCCTGAAATATCCCTTATACCCTTAGAATTTATTTTCAAATTGTTTGTATAAAAAAAAATAATTTTTATACGAATAAAAATTCCTATAAATCAAGAATAAAGGGGAGACAGAACGTGGTCAATTTTTAGAATTGATTGTCTATAATAGTGCCTGTTTGGGGTTGCAAATACTGATCAAAGCACGAAGCAAGGCGGAGTCAGAAAGATGTGAGAGTCAGCATCTAGGGTTGGAACCCTCTTCCTCCACTGTCGAAATCGCTCCCTCTTGGACGTTGAACGCGTCTATATACGATCAAGAAAAATTATATCGCTGGATGAAAAAAAAAAAAAAAGATGACTTCTTGGCGAATGGCGATTGTGCTTTTGCGAATGTTTGGTATATATATATATATATATATATAAGACGGATCGATGCTTTTCTCTCTGATGTAGAAATATTTCCCGTTGTGACGCTATTGGAGGAAAAAGGCGAACATGGCTGCCTATGCCATTACGCGTAATCTTTACGAGGTTTATTATCGAGAATTTTACGGTATCTTCCGTAAAGGAAACTATATATATATATATATATATATATATATATATATAGAGAGAGAGAGAACCCATGGTGAAAAAGCCATAAAATGTTTTGCGAGATTAAGTCATTTATCGTTCTTGACGTCTTTATTGCCACCAATTTTAGAGCTCCTATTTCTCAATTTTAAATTAAAGATTTTTTAAATACATACATACAGTGAAAAAATTTTGGTTCAGTAGCTGCCCCAAAGAAAAAATTTCTAATATTCAATTATAACTTCGTACTTTATAATATGCCACGTACTCTCTAAATCTGAATTAGTAAAAATGTTTACTAATTTGAATTAGTGACTCACTTTTTGCTTCTGAATTAGTTAAATTTTACTAATTGATAGTAAAAGTTACTAATAATTATTAAAATTTTACTAATTGTTAGTAAAAGTTACTAATAATTAGTAAAATTTTACTAATTCAAAAGCAAAAAGTGAGTCACTAATTCAAATTAGTAAACATTTTTACTAATTCAGATTTAGAGAGTATATATACGGAAAAAAATCTTTATCTGAAACAGCGATATGTTTCCCTAGAATAGCGAAAACTTTCTCTGTTTTAGTGAAACTTATCGCTGTCACAGATGAACATTTTTTTCGAAGTTTTTCTATTACAAAGGGTAGTATGTATATATATATGTATTTTAAAATTTTGAATTTTTAAAATATGTGACGTAGCGCGAAAGAAAGGGACCTTTGAAGTAAAAAATTATAGGTTATATATTTTAAAATTTCCAAGTGAAAATACACAAAGTGGATTAATTCTTAATGCAATAAACCAATGATGTTTAAATCTTCATTATATCTAAAATGGGAAAAACTAATTTTGATGTTATACAGAAAAGAAATGAAACTTTTAATCAAGGTAAAACTGTTGTAAACATAACCTATAATTTGTTTGCTTCTAAGATCCCTTTCTTTGCGACGCATCACACACTTAGAAAAAAATTCGTTTGCAACCAAATTTTGGTTAAATCAACAAAATAAATGCATTGATATATACAGTTAACCAAACATTTGGTTGCATTAACCAAACATTTGGTTGCATAAACCAAACGTTTATTTAGCTCAATCAAATTTTTTCTTTTTTTCAAAAAATTTATTAAAATAAACCAAACAATTATTTAGATCAAATAAATATTTATTTGAATTAAACAAATTTTGTTTGAACTAACCAAAAAATTGGGTAAATATAAAAAAAATGGTAAATTTGGTTCAAACATATCTTTTTTCTGATTGCATATACTTTTTAAATGAAACATAATTTTTTACGTATTTTTTTATATTTCAAATCGATAATTTTAAAAAAAAGACAGAAGATGACCGTATTATTCAAGGCGCGTTTGAAACAACATATATATTATATATACATAGTGGTAGCGGGAATCTCCTTTTCAGAACGACGACGACTTGCCCGGGTCTCAGCGGAAGGGAAGGGGGGCAACAATCCGCGTCGATAAATAAAGGATTGGCTGTTCCTCGGTCAATATTGATTTTTAAATTGACCGCCGAGTGAATCCGCGAGGGTTGACGCGAGGGGGTATATATATATATATATATATTGAGAATTCCCGGACGTACACCTTCGTACGGTAGATAGAAATTCAACCCACTATCGTTTCTGGTTGGCGGTGGGTATCCACTACGTCGAGTATACACGGAATTTGATTATAAATAAATGCGAAGAGGGGTTAGGAGGGTGGGGGTAGCCTGCTATCTCGCACAGTACATAGTGTGGTATGGGAGTCCACTCCGTTGCATCCATAATGCAGCGACCCTCGCGTATATGTGTACAAAAGCGAACGCTTGCTCTCTCTCTTTATATATATGTATATATGTATGTATATGTTTGCGCTACCGTAAA